GACAATAACTTCAGGCAACATCTTATGCTTAGCTTCTAGAGCACAGAACAGGTAACTAAGCACCCGGCGGGGCAGATGGTCATGGTTTAGTGAATTTTCTAACAAAGGTAAATGATAAGAAAGCTTTTATTTCATTTCCAGTTGTAGACATCAAATCAAAAATTTACTTTGCAAAGACGAAAAATTGAGTTCAAAAATCGGCATATCATGAAAAATGGCTGTAATGCTAATAACGGCTGGTTGTTTAAGTGGGAAACGCGAAACCACGAAGTATTAGTTAATGACAAGTAACATTTGCTTTTCTCGCCGTCCGCGCAATTAGTTAACATGACAGTTACAATAATAATGTAACGACCAAAAAGCAATATTAGCCGACCCCTTATAAAAATCCATTAGCCTTCATCGACCAAAAAGATGCTCCAATGAAAAAACTTTGAAGTCAGTTAGCGAATTAAACATGGTTTCTGATTTTTCCTTTTCTTCGCATAAACAAGTTGGTTTTTATGGGTCAAACTAGCCCCCGTTAATGTTCTGCCTTTCATTGGAAAGCTCTCGTCCAATCAGGATACAGGAATGGAATGCTCAGGCATTCGAACCCGTATATGATGAGGAATTGTGAAAGGAATGATGAGATAAGTGGGCAACATTTTCCTGGCATGGAACTGAGAAACATAACCCACGAGGATGTTGATCTGTTCAAGACAGTAATGATGGTCTACATAGGAGGACCAATAACCGTGGTGGGAATCATCACCAGCATTCTAAGCCTCCTTATGTTTAAACGAGACACTTCCACCTCATCCAGTACACGCCTTCTCCTCTCCTCAATCGCCGCCACGGATATATTATTCCTCTCCTGTTCTTTCCTCTTCTGGACCGTGAGGGAAATTTTTTCAGAAAGCGAGGCATTCGTAAGGTTTATGAACAGTCCCTTCGTCTACGGTTTCCTCTTCTACGTTTGCAACGTCTTTGAAATGCTGCGAAATTGGCTGGTCGTGGTTATAGCTGTGGAGAGACTGCTCTTCTTTCTTAAACCTCTTGAATTTAAGAGTATGTGGAGCCTGTCCCGGGTACGTCGTATTACCATCGCTGTCTGCTTACTTTCCTGTCTCGTTCGTGTGCCCGTTCTGATATATGGCATATCAAAGCACGACCAGACGTTGGGACCCGCAGTTACCCGCCTGACTCGGCTGATTCACAACCTAACTGACTGCATACTACTTACTGTCCTGCCTGTTACAGTAATGGCCGTGCTTTCCACCCTCACCACCGCCCGCGTGCGTGCAGTCATTGAGGCGAAACGTCGACTTGACAATGATGGTGCGAGTTCTGTGGTTGGTCCTAGTAAGACCGAGGCCAGTAAGTCAACTGTATGGACGACGGCAGTGGCCAAAGAAGCCAAACAGGACGTTTCTGCATCGACCGCCGGTGCAGAAAGAACAGGCGGCCATAAGCATTGTCGTATCATCAAGATCCTACACACTGTCCTCATTACTTTCATTATTTTCTGCTTTCCAGCTGTCATCTCAACGATAATCCACGCCTACGTGGTTTTCCACAACATTACCAGCGGTCCAGAATACTTGGCCTCGAAGATTGTGGCGCCCATCTCCAACATAGGCTCTGTGCTAAATTCGACCTCAAATTTTTTTGTTTATATCATTCAAAGCGGACGGTATCAACGAATGATAGTGGAGATGCTGAGATTGGATCGGTGTGGCTTCAACAATGTCCTGAAACCAACTAATAAACAAACTGAAACTAGTCGTGCCTCAGAGTAACATTGTCAACACGTTTATTGTCCAACACCACCGAATTCATTTTGTAGAGCGCCTACCCGTTTAGCGCCAGTAAAACGAGGGCAAGTGTGCAAGCTTCTTTTTGACACTATCATTCAGCTAAACCTGCCAAATATTTTAACATAAAAATTGATCTTTGTACTTGCGTGCTTCTGAGTGAGCGGTGATTCATAACGTTTTGGCTTCTCTTTAAGGACGAGCAAGCTTGTTCGGTGACCCAAGGATTAAAAAACGCATAAACAGTAAAATTATTCTTAGTAGACATCGCGCACAACTATGTATGGAAGCGTTGCTCTATTGCAGATGAAGCACCGAAAAATATACTTAATATTGTGTACTAACTGTCATTATGAAGTCACCATAACATAGGCCTAAATCAATGTTTTTCTTTGCTATCGAGTATTTGAATAATGGTCCCTACTCGTTGGGCTATGGGGAAAACGCATGTTCATCAAAATCCAAGAGAGTACTTGGCATGATAAAATGACACTTCAGCGATCTGATCGGAAGAAGCAAGAAAAACCTAGCTTCATTTTACATCGAATTCTAAAATTAGGGCATCTTTCTGACAATTGTGAACTAGAAAACCTTATCATTAAGGATACTATGCAATTCACCGAAACAGCTGTAAAACATGTTTAGGGGAAACTGCAAAGATATCCTGTCTATCGGAACATTTTATAAACCGCAAATACAGACTGTCCCAAAAATAAAGCTCAAGAATTTCCTTCATCCGTCGCTTAGCTACCGGCTCTGTCAGATAACTAATTGGTGAGCTCGCTAAATGAAAGAAAGTGCTACTAACATTCGACGAAAATTATAGTAAACAGAATGTTATTAATGAGCAGATATGTGTTTAGTTAAATATGCGCATCGATTACCCGCCACCTTTCAGAAAGTCCATGATGCACATAATGTCGGAGTTTGACCATCGACTTCAGGCTGAAATGCAGTGCTATCTCAGCACATTTGGGCCGCTTTGAAGCAAAAATATGGTAAGATCTGGTTATGCATCCCCACCCGATGGGTTTAGGCGTTACGTTTGGGGGTTAGGGTTATGGTTTGGATTTAGGGGCCGGGATTATTGGTTTAGGTTGGAGATAGCGGTTAGGGATTAGAGTAAGGGATTAAGGTTAGAGGTTGTGGCTAGTGGTTAGGACAACTATTTCTCAACCACTTAAAGTACAACAGTGCATACTTATTTGCTTTCCTTTGCATAAAAACAACTTGGCCCCGTCGCCTGTGCGTCCTTTGGCCCCAACTGTAAAAGCCCCTACTACCACCGGTCCCGTATTACAGGTGGTTGTGGTCTGTTTACTTCGGGTGGGGCCACGTCACCACATCTGACCAAAATTATACATTAGCTGAGGATTTTTACACGTTTCATTTTAAACCAATTTAGACCTACAAGTGATCAGAACAATGACCCTGCCAGACTTTGTTACGCAAAATAATATCAGACAGCAATAGACGGGGTCTGTTTTCGGCGTGGTTTGAAGTTTCATCTGTAAATGTGAAACTTACATTTACTGATAGAACGCAAGAATTGGAAATATTCCCAGAAATAGAGTTGACCTTGCGTTAGATTCCAAGAAGATTAGAGTTAGGGACAAAACTGAGTCTCACACTAGAGTCGATTTTTGGATTTGGTAATAAATACCTGTAATAGAGCCCAAGACCATCCGTAAGAGGAAAGCAATTATTTTTGGTTATTTAAGTAAAGCACACTTTGGTGAATATCTCTGAAGTAATAGTCTTAACCCTGGACTCTATTTACCAGCGTCATTAACTTGGGTTTATTGCTCAGGGCCGTTTACATGTAGGGTGTTGCCCGATTAACCTAACATTATTTACCATCCTCTTTTGTGCAGAAATAAAAAAAACGCATTTACTTAACACTGTTGGATCTCATTTTCAAATACAACTCTTATAAAGCAAGATGATACCAAACAAAAATTTTAATTGCATCTAAAACGCAGCCCTTGGGGAAAAAAGCAGAACATACTTGCTAATTTGTTATGTCTAGAGAAGGCTTTGGAAACATACGAGAAACCCAAAAAAGTGTTTTTATAAATTTACCGGACGCACAGGTAAGGAACGAGGGCAATAAATCATAGTGCATTTGCAAACATCCGGACGCTCAGAAATGTATTCGCTGGCAACGTTTCATCGAGTGGAGCCTGTTCTTTCTTTTCACATCTAGGGTAACCCCACTGACAACGTTACCCCAACAAGTAGGCACAATGACTAAGTAGTAGGTACCTAAGGTAGGCAGCGTGTAACATCTCGAGAATTTGCGGGTATGGCATGCTTTCACAACCTTTTTAGAACGTTCTTGCGGAATTCCCAGATGGCAGACCAAATAAAAACATTCGTCATAATTGAAACAGCAGATGCACTGAAAAACTGTTAGACGTTCTGGAGTATGCTTTGCTATTTTAAAGCAAAAACGATCAAGGGTCAGTGATGGCGTACAGTCTGTGACTGATCACGCAAATTATTAAAGGAACTGTGCAGATACAAAGATAAATGAAGGCAGTTTTTACGATTTTAAAAAAAATTATGAAAACAAGCTTCTGAAACCGACAGACGCATTATCGTTGAGAGGAAAACGTAATAAGATACGATTTTTTGACAGGCAAGCAAAGAAGAGACTATTTTATCCAGTTTTACTAAAAAGAAATTTTACATTTTAAAATCACCGAGAATCACCAAAGAGAATTTATACTGCTATTTAAATACTTAAATTTATATGCTGTCTTAAAAACTCTTAACATAATCGGATGGGGAAGCCTGTTTTGTATGGAGGATAATGGCAGAAGTCTCTTTTAGAATAGGTTATCGAACGTGGGGCCGTAAACTTCATAAGTACTCCTGCTGTCTAGCTGTGTGCAGATGGCTTATATATCACGGGGTAAATATTTGCCGATGTATACCTGATTTTCCGTCCCTTAACATACTTTTGCACCTTGTCTTTTAAGAGGAATTCTATGGTACACGAATTTTCTGAGATACGAACCGCCCCTAAAGCTCACACAGCTCAGTTTATATAATACGGCGTTTTCCAGCGTAAACATCCTCCAACTCCAATTTATTTAAGCATGATAGTTTCGATTTCATTGGTCTGTTAGTTAGGATGAATGAGTAAACTCATGGTGCCGATTTACAATATTTAAAATCTTTGACATCTCTATGCAGTAATTTCCTTTAAGAAATTGAATTGTTACTTGTTATGTTCGAACTAATGTTAACCATGTAAAAGGACAACTTTCGTTGCAAATAAAACATCTTAATAAACAGAGGAAGTGTGAATGTTCAAGTTTGAACCATGGGTAAATGTTACTGAGCATTTGTTAATAAATGCGTATTAAAAAATCGCAAACGGTTTAAATTACCAGACGGCCAAAATATGTCAGTTTGCAGACGGGCTGTCGCGTTTTCCAAAGATAGCCAGTATATAACCAAAGAAGCCCAGTTGATTAAGCTGGTCATAGCAAATTTTGAAAATACGATTCATGCTGCTTACGAGATTTTTTTTCACGGGCAGCTTGAACGATATGCGCATAAAAATAGACAACCTAATGGAATCGAAATATACTGGGATTATGTTGCGGAATAATCAGTATTGCAACCTTACCTTATAATTCGCTCTGATTGAAAACTCCCTTCAGAATTCAGGCCAGCATCTTACTGTGTTTAAATGTGCCAATGCCTACGGAGTTAGGCTGTAGAGCCGCTAAATGAACATAACCCTTTATTTTTGATAGGGGGTTATTTTCATGGGGAACTGTGTCCCGAGAAAATGCGTGTCCTTGCGCCGGAATGATTTGTTAGTCGTCCAGTTTTAAGCGTTTGCTTCACTTTCCGCAAGAATGGCCACTTTGGGATCCTACCTGTACGCGCTGCAGATGTTCCATTGCAATAAGATTAAAGATGCGTTCAAATACCAATTTACGAAATTTCACGTCTTTCCATTCACAATGATTCCATGGCCATTGTTGTTTAAGTAGCCTTCACTAAAGCTCTTGAATTTATCACTAAACAACGTGCGTCTCCCTGAAGGAAAATCTGTCTAGGCCGTTTAATTTTCGACATGGCTAGCACATGGCGTAAATGACTATTTGAGTATTATTTACGCTTGTATAAAGCGTTGATAACTTTGAGATAACAGCCTGCCAACATGAATTACTCTGTGTGGTAGCAAACGGGATGTAAGCAGCCCGTTTAATAGTCGTCCATTAAAAATTATATTCATCGATATATTCGAAGTATTGAAACAGAAAGCCTCCTTCGCTCAAGTAAATTGCGTCAAAGCCGGCAACGAGAGAACAAAATAGTATTTTTGATAATACTTACCTCCGCGGATCAGTCACCAGATGTTAGCGGATATGGGAGAGGTCGTAGGGGGCTAGTACGACGCAATCCCGCACGTAAGCGTACCTCTGCGCCCTCAGGTCCACAAAAAGCGCCTGACAGTCATTTAAGACATCAGCAAAGGCAAGAATTACTTTATGCAATCAACAAAGTACCATGTTGGGTTCACAGAGTATTGCAACCTCCTTGGACTGTGTTGTATACTTAATGGGGGTTATTAGTAAAGAGACAAGTGCGATGCTATTCGAGTGGAGGTTGCATAGTCGGGAAAAATAACATAATTGCAAGCCTATTCAAAACTGAAAAATATCCTTTTTCATGCACACAGATTAAAGACGTCGTGATTTGCCGCCGAATGAGCACGACAAGGCATATTTTCCATATCAGCTTTTTAAATGCTTTTAAATTTTTAAAGGTATTTAAAATCGATGGAGAAGATAAACGCCACAAAAGGGGTCATTTTTGCCGGGTGTGGTTACTGCGGGCAGCCGAAAAGAAGTGCATTCAAAAGCCGATGCCTTTGCGCCTCTGACATATCATGGAATGACATCACAGAATATTCAATACTGCAACCTCACTCAAGTCGTCGTTCCTAATCGTAGATACGA